AAGCTTCAATTTTACCTCATAGCAAAGTAATGAATTAATATATTGCTTCTATGAGTTTTGGTTATCAGATATTGTGGCAGGACGAGAATTTTTAAAATACTGCTTGCTTACTTTAAAACATTTTCTGGAAAATAAAAATATATAAAATAAACAGCACATTGAATTTAACCAGAGTAATAAATGAACAAATAAAGATTTGCTTAGGAACATAAAAAAGAATTTTCAAGCATTTTACCACTTCATTTTTAAGCATATTTAAAGCTCCTGAAACAGAATATTTCAGAAATAAAATAAAATAAAATAAAAATAAAATAAAATAAAATAAAATAAAATAAAATAAAATAAAATAAAATAAAATAAAATAAAATAAAAAAACCTTCAGACAAATAAGAAATGTATCTTGGGCATCTCCAGCTCCTGCCTAAAGAACCAACAACTAACCCCACTGCAGGATTTGTTCCTCAGCCATTCCCATGGGAAGGATGGGAGGCAATGGAGATTTTGGGGCTGGGAACACCTGTCAGGCTGCAGATAAACCCAGATGACCAACTCATTTCACAGAGCTCTATGAATAGCCATGGCAGGGCTCTCACTGATTCCTGCTGCCAGCCTGGAGCTGAGGGGCACAATGCAGATCCTGGGAGCCACAAGGACCTTAAAGCAGCACTGGAAAGTTCAAATCAGCTGGTTTTTACTGCTTCTTGTAGATGATCATTTATATATTTGTATATATCTGTATTTGTGTATGCAGATAAACTCATTTGCGTGTGTACTCATACACTTTTTAACATTGTAGTCCAAATGATTTTGACAAATTTTAAAATAGTACCAAGTCTGAACTCCCTTCTAGACAATTCATCTAGAAAATAGGAATTGCTATAATAAAGAACTTGAAATTCAAGAGAAGTCAGCACTTCTCAATTTCTTAACTGCTGCTTTTTGTTTTATTCCTTCTTTGTTTAGCTCCAGATAGGCAAAGAAAGATTAAAGCATCCTGAAAGCTCTTTCCAATGCTCTTCCAAAATTTCACCCCTAACACAGCCTCGGTCCCTGTGCAGGCCCATTTGAAACTGATGGAGCAGTATTATTCCACCTAATAGTTCCAAAAATAAAAACAAGGAAAAGCCAATGAGAGCCTGTGGTTTCCAACGTTCAAGTAACTCTTTAAAAGAATAAGCAGGTCCTTAATGGCATAAGAGCATTAAAAAGGAAATAAATGTATCCTGTATATTTTTATTTTTGAAAGCAATGGTAATTCTGATTTCCACTGGGACAGAACAAGAACCAGCACAGGGACAACCAAACAAACCTAAACCCTGAGACAACCCAACAAGCCTGAAAGAGCAAACAGAATTCCCCGCTTTCCCAAAGTTTTGACAGGATTTTTGCAAAGGAAGCTCAGCCAATTTCAAAAATTTGTGTCCCTGGCCATGAACAGATGAGACTGAAGTGCTTTGTGTACGTGGCCTCTTAAGCCATAGAGAGACACTGGGACATTAGTGGGGCTCCAGATGGGCACGGAGGGGCTCCCACCTGGCCTGCTGCTTTCCACAGGGAGCATCCACAGGGAGCACTGGCTGCTGATCCAGAAACTCATGGTGGACCTACAGACTGTATTCCAGCCACTGAGCTTCCACGGAGAAGGAATAACCATGAGAAATAGTAGGGAAAAAAATATAAACCCACTGAGAAAGCAAATGCAATAACCCAGCTGAATCCCAAGGTATTCCACCTTGGAGAGGCCTGTGACTGATGCCAGGATCTCCAGTGCTTTTGAACAAGGAGAAACACTGATCCCTCCACAGCCCAGGAATGAAATGACTGCAAGTTGTACGAGAAAAGTTCAATTATTGAAGGTATTGCATCATAAAGATTCTCCTCAAACATCCGCCTCCCTAATCCAAACAGAGACCAACTCCTGTGTCCACGAAGGAAGGAAGGCACAGCAAACTCCACAGAAACATTATTAAAGTCAGGCCTAAACAGCATCTTTATGCTCAGCACAGCCATGGCAGGTCCTTGCTAATTCCAAACTATCTGCCCTTAGAGCCACTGACCCAGAATATAGCAAAATAATTATTAATTCTGTTCTCAAATATAAAGATCTGGAAAATCCGCAACAAGTTTTCCTAATAGCAATCAGCACCTGTAAATATCTTGATAACAGTAGCAAAAAGATTTTAGGAACCCAAATACAAGGAAACTGTGTTGCCTTTTAGTTACAGATGTTGATAATCCACAATCTTTCCTAGAACAAGTTGAAACATCCAATTCCTTCAGTTCTTGGAAGGCTGTGACAGCAGCCAGAAGCCCAAAATTTGCCTGAGACCCCTTTGTGCTAATCCTGCAGAAATGCAGGAATTGCCACCCAGAATCCCAGTCCCAGCAGTGCTTCCTTCAGAGGGCCCTTCCCACCCCAATCCCACAGCTCTCCCTCCAGCACAGACGTGGCTGCAGGACTGCAGGCCTATGGAAATGAAGGTTTATCAGTAATTTTATCTCTAGGATTTAAAGCAAGAAAAAAACCCTGAATTATTCTGTCCAGCTTCAGATTCCTGTTCAATTTCACTGTGTAACCATATTAAACCAAACCATAGGTACTTTAAAGGCCAAAACACAAGGAGATGGTTAAATCCTTGTAATAATTACTGTATCACATCACTGTGGGATGTGGAAGTTGGGGGCAGAGCTGCAGCTCTACATGCACGGGGAATGTAATCCTGCAGCCACTATAGGCTTCCATGTACAGAGGAAAGCAGATCAATGGGATCTCAGGCTGAGAAAAGCAGCACTGTCATGAAATAAAATCATGAAATTATGTCCTTCACTCTTGGACAGGCTTTTGCTGTCCAACTCCTACCTGAAGTAAACTAAAAGGCAAATCACATGTTTAAGTCATGGGTGTTTATACACAGATCTGCTGATTTTGGGGATTGTCACTGTTGAGATTTTTCCCCCACACGTTTAAACCCAAAGTTATTACAAGCAAAAAGAAAACTAACTGCAAACTATTAGAAAGAACTACAGTTATGGCTGCTGCCTCCAATTCTCCATCACAACATTGTCCAGTATCAATCCAGCTCCGGTCTTCTCCTGTTCCTTACACCCCATCAAATTACAGCTCTCACAAACCCTTCCCAGCCCGACCCCAAAACTGCTGCTTCACACCAGACACGTGGGTACAAATTAGAAATGGGAGACAGCCCAGCATGTCAGGGGAGCTCTTTCTTGTGGGCATCCTTCAGCATGAGGCACAGTGACACACATTCTCTGCTGACCACCATTTAACTGGGATGCCCCTCTGGAACACACACTCATGGCCTACTCCGTGGTTCTGCACTCAGCACTTAATAAACCAAAAATAATAAGCCCAAAATAAACCAAAGCACTCCAACCGTCTTTTGGAAATTACAGAGGACATAATTAAGCCCCAGAAATAAGCAGACAACAGCAATTTCAATATAAACATCCTACTTGTGTAGGGTACTTTCTCATTTCAACTCCGTGTTAATGCCCCAACTCTTACTTCTGGATCCTTGCAAACATCTAGAAGGTTTCTCCCAACATTTCCTCGAGTCCAGAATTTAGTTTGACATTTCAAGCCATTACATTTTAACCCATTTCAGACGTTGGAACACGCAAGTTTCCCTCGAACCAGCAGAAAACATGGTCAGGTCAGTCCACCAGCAGCACCTGACCAACACCGTGAGCGGGGATGGAGACACTTGGCCTTCCCAGCAGAAAGCCATGGAAAAACACATCCCGACGTATATATCCCAACAAACCATTGACCAAATATAGCCGGGCACCACCGATAACCAGGGGCTGCTACCAAACCACATCCCAACCCTGCAAACACCAAGTCCAGCTCCTGGACTGTCTATCCCTGGGAAGTTCAGCTCGGGGAAAGGGTCTTTGTACAAGTGGTCTTTGTACCTTCACCACCGCAGGGGTTTAATAACTCAAACAATAAGTCAAACAACGGCCTGGAACCTGGGGGGGCAACGCCGGGGCTCCGTGTTATCCCAGGAAAACAACACTTTCGGGACTCGGCCGGGGCTCAGCACCCACAGCACCACCCCGAACTTTGCCCGGCGCCCCCGCCACCATCTCCCCCCTTCCCCTGCCGCTCCGGAGGGGCCCGAAGGAGCATCTCCGGAGCATCCCCCGACAACAAAGCTGGGGCGGGGGGCGCCGGGAAGGGGCCCCGAGTGACAGGCGGTGCCCCCCCGGGGTAAACAGGGGGTAAACACGGGGTAAACAAACACCCCCCCCCGCCCCGCCGCTCCCCCCGCACTCACCTCAGGGCCCCCGGGCGCAGGGAGGAAGGCGGAGACGCACACAAAGGGTAATAAAGGGGGAGGAGGAGGAGGGAGCGGCGCTCCGCGGGGCCGCCCCCAAGGGACGGGGGTGGGGGGGTGGTCTCGGTGTGTGTTTGAGGGGGGATGTGGAAGAAACTCCCCGGCGGGGCTGCGGGGGGGGCAGCGACTCGGGGCCCCCCGCCCCCGCCTCGGCGCGGCGCTGCTTGCTTCGTGTCCCTTCAGCGGCGCGAACAACCGGCCGTCCCGCCGCCGCCCCCCCCCGCGCTCCTCCTCATCGCCGCCGCCGCTGTCGGGAAGGAGGAGGAGGAGGAGGAGGAGGAGGAGGAGGAGGAGGAGGAGGAGGAGGAGGAGGAGGAGGAGGAGAAGGAGGAGGAGGAGGAGGAGGAAGAGGAGGGCAGGCAGCAGCGGCGGCCGCCACCGCGCATGCGCCCCGGGGGAGCTCGGGAGGCCGCGGGGAGGAAAGGGGGGGGGGAAACGGGGGGGGTGGGGGTGGGGGGGGGGGGGGACGACGACTTCCCACAGCGCCGCGCGCGCCGCTCCCGGAAACGGATCCGGGATGGGGAGGAAGGAAGTGGATGAGGGGGATGGAAATGGACGGGGAGGAAGTGACGGGAGCGGAGCGGAGGGGAGGGGAAGGGGAAAGGGAAAGGGAAGGGAGGGCGGCGGGGAGCGCGCGGTGACGTGAGGGGGCGGCGCGCGCGCGCGGGACGGTGGGAGCGCGCGCGCGGCGGGTCCCGCCCTCAGGGGAGGGAGGAGAGGCGGGAAAGCGCCGTGAGGGCAGTGCGGGCAGGTGAGGGAGAGACACCCTCCGCTTCAACCTCAGCCTCAACCTCAGCCACCGCCTCAACCTCAGCCACCGCCTCAGCCACAGCCACCGCCTCAGCCGGCGGGACGTGCCCGAGCAGCGGACGATGCGCCCTACCGCCCGCCCTTCGTCTGCTCGAGCTCCGGCGTCCCTGAGGGAGCCGCGCATACAGCCTGTGAGGAGGGTAACGGGAGCTGGGGGAGCAATTTCTGGCTGCTGGGGCAGGGGGAGGTCTTGGCTGCCCGGTGAGGGCTGAGGGGAGCGTGCGAGCGGTGGTGGCCGCCCTCAGGTGATGGAGAAGAGGCGGGACACGCCGTGAGGGGAGGGCAGGTGAGGGCAGGACGGTACCCCAGGACCCTCCAAGCCCTGTAGGGCCTCCCTCCATTTCCTCAAGGTCCTCCCAAAACCCGCCCTCAGCGCCCCCACAGCCTCTCATGGACCCTCCCAAGCTCTTTGAGGTTTCTCCATTCCCTCATCAGGGTCGGCACAGGCTCTCTCTGCCCCGAAAAATCAGACCTCCCCCATTCCCACAGCCCTTCCCCAGCTCCCTCATGGACACTCTTCCCCCCCATCCCCATTCCTTTCCAGAGCATTCCCAGACCCTCCTAACCCCATAAATTCCTCACTCAAAATCCCTCAGGACCTCCCCTAAACCCTTCCCAGGACCACTCCTGAGCCCCCCTCAAGACCTGTAATTCCTCTCCAAATCCCCCTTAGAGTTTCCCTCAGGCCCTCTTGAATCCCCCTCAGAACCCTCTCAAACTTCTCAATCCCCCTCAAGGACCCCCAGTCCCTAAAGTTTTCCCCCCAAACTCCTTCTGAATCTACCCAAATCTCTTTAGAGAGCCCCCCAATCCCCTTAGGACCCCTTCAGAGCCAGCTTGTCCAGAGAGATGCTGTGGTTATTGTTATAAACAAGGATGGCCAGTTATTCCGTAAAAACTTAATTGTTTGTCTTGATGTGTTCCCGTGTGCTTGTAGCTTGTTCCAGCTGCAGAAACATAAGGACATTATTTTAAACTCTCTAAAGCATCCTAAAGCCGGTGCTGTTTAGGAGATGTGTGTCAACATGGGTTTATCAGGAATAAATTTAAAATTATTTCAGTGTCTTGGCTCTTTTTCACTAGGGAGATGGACTGTTGCATCTTTATTAGTTAAGAACAGATGTTCGTTACAGTACTTAAAAATGATCAACATCTAAGTACAGTTTCGGACTGGGATTGTTTGGAAAGCAATGCTATTTAATAAAATGCTTATTTTCTCTTCTCTGAAGATGAAACCTTCTGCAATGAACAAGCGAAAGTTGAAGGAGAGCAGTGCAGAAAGTGCTGAGAACATTTCCCAGGTCAGTAACACCTTTATTCATTACTTTCTTTTCACGTTCTGGACCTTTTCCACCCTGTGCCATTGATATAATTTATTTTTTTCCTAGGCCAGTTGCAAAGCCTGGTACAGATACAATTGGAGACAACACTGGATACAATTGTTAGGGCACTAAATGGCTTTTGTCCCTGTGTTTCAGCTTCCCACCTGTTGATTGCTTCAAGTGTTACAGTTATAATGCAGTAAAAAACTTAAAGGATGTTATTGTACTTCTGCAACTCTTTGTGGCAGCAGATTTGCCTAAATCAATTTTTGTCCATTTAGGTTTTTTTATCTTCCACTTTGTAGGGTGAATGAGAATCCAGGTGACTTTTAGCAGCAGGACAGCAGCTGCCAAATCCGTTTTTAGTTTTTGGTTTTTTTAAACCTTTATTCTCCTGTTTTCCCAAAGTTGCTGGTTAAAAACTGTAATGCATCTTGCAAGGAATTACCCCTGGATCAGTGATTTCCTATATGTTTTAATCTATTCTAATTGCTTTTTCTCCCTTATATAATATTTATACAATATTCTGCCTCTTGTCACTTTATTCTTACTTTCAAGGTCCTTCTATCCTTGGTAACAGTAAAAATTTATGTATTATAGAGTATTTGTACCAATACAAAAGTGCCTGATTGGCTGTTATTTTATTTCTGTAGTTACATTGTTGGTAAATTCTGGTGTTTGGAGCCCCAGACATTTTTCCTGTGCTGTGTTACATCCCTAGGTGCAAAAAATCTTACGTGAAAGATTCTGTCACCACTGTGCTGCTGGAAAACTGTTTGGGATGGAGCAGCAGTACAGGTGAGTGAGCAGGCTCTAGGATTCAGTGATTTCTAATTTAACTGCAGTGGTAAAATAGTCTGCTGGAGTCAGAACTTTCTGCCTCTCTGTTTTACTAAGTTATATAGGTTTACTTCCAACCCAGTGCTTCCAAAAATTATTTGCCTCAGATTTTGTAGTTTTTATACAACTGTTGCCTGCTGGTTTTGTCAGGCTCTGAGTTTTGGATTTCTTCTCCTTGTTTCACATCTCTCATTCATGAAGCACTTTTCTTTTTGATACGTTCAGTGCAAGTTCTAAGACTTTGTGTAATGGCCTGGCAGAGCAAGAAGTTACATTCTCTTGCTGTGATACTTTATTTCTACTTCGGATTTTCTCTTGTTTGTTGGTGAACTGTGTTAGAAGTAAATCCTAAAATTTCTGTGCCAACATCATCTTTGTTGAAGTAGAGACCAATATTTAAACCTACTTCTGGAGCCATCCAGATGGGGAATTTAGGGTTAGGAGGAAGTGATTTAAGTGGGACAATAACACTGTAAAATAATCAGTACTGGGACAGATGCAGATCAAATTCTGCAGATGTATTTAAAAAACTAATTTTTCCAAGGCTGACTTTATATAAAGTGGAATCACCTGATGTGAGCACAAGTTTTCATTAACAGAGAGACAAAACCATTTATTAAAACAGTACATGCAGAGCTCACATAGGCATTTTATTGCTGTTGTGAGGAAATGTAATTCTGCTATGTCAGTTTTACAAAACAAGCCTCCCCTGTTTATCCTGGAATTCTGAAAAGCAATTTACAGGCTGTGTCCTACTCAATGTGCCACTGGTAGTGAATTATCCTGGAGGGAAAACACAGCTCTGATTTTTCCTTCCCAGGATGTGTCAGGGCTCTTGGCTCTCAAGCAGTGACCAAAGCCATACGTGTTGGCTGCAGCTGCTCCATGAGGACTCCCTCAGCCCTCCAGAAGTCAGTATCCCACATTCCAAAAGCACATTATTGATGTGTATGCACTTGGGAATTGCAGGTGTCAGAGGCTGCTGTAAGCACTTTAAATGTGCTTTGAGGTGATGAGTCTATCTGCAGGTGATTTAGAGCTGGTGAGGAATAGTGGTAGCACAGAAAGCAATCTATTTCTCAGAGAAAGAAATCATTATTGAGGTCTGTCCTTTCATGGCAGAGAATTGCAGAACTTTATGAATTAGTGATACTCCCAACTTCTGCAGGTTTTAATATTTTAAAATATTTTAAGAGCTCTGATCACTGAGCCCTTTGTACTTGATTGTATTACATTTTGCATGCCCTGGGTGTTGGCTCTCGGAGCAAGCCGAAGTGGATCGAGTTTTATTCTTTGAATTTTCCCTGGGTTTGGGGCTGTTGTCAGCTTTGAGGGTTTCAGCCCATTCCTGTTTTCACCACAGACATTTGCTGGAGCTGCTGAAGAGAACCACAGTGCACGGGGAGAGCAATTCCGCCCTCATCATCGGCCCCCGGGGATCCGGGAAAACTGCGGTAGGAGCAGCTCCTGGAGCTCCAGCACAGCCTCACTGAGGTCCTGGGAGCCTCTGCAGCTCTGTTTTCAGCTCTGCCTGGTTTTACATAGAGAATTGCTAATGGTTTGCATAGAAATTCAAAGCATTCCAGGACTTTCTGTGGAAATTCTGTTCAGGAGCAGCATGGAGAAATCTGTTCCTAACACTTGTCTTTGCAATTAAAGCCGTGTTCTGATTATTCTTTAATTAACCTGGTTTTGGGCCTAAATATGATCCAAAAGCTCTAAAAGGAGTAGCCTGAGGAGTGGGTTTCTCCATAGCTGTGTGCATGCAGGGAATGGTCAGGAATATTGTTAACTGCCATGGAGCAGAATATTGTTTGGTGGTTATGGTTTATAAGTGTAGGTTTTGTGTTTTAAAGGAATTCCCCTTAGCTGAGGCACATGAGAGGATGACCTCTAACTTAAGAGCTTAATGCTTCAACATTATTGAAACACTCAAGTCTTTAATGTTTACATTAAATGATGTGATGAAAATTTGTGGTCCTTTCAGACAGAATATAAGTTAGCAAAATCACCTGTGCAGAATGAATTATTTCCTTTTGATATATCAAGTGAAAGATGCTGGAGTAAAGAAAATAATGTGTGTATATATTTATAAATTTATACCTGCACATAGATGGGAGGTTCAAATCCTTCTCTGAAGAAGCCAAAGCAAATAGTAACGTCTTAATTTTTAAATTTAACATTTCCACTTCTTACAGATACTTTAATACAAGTTTTTACTCATAACAAGTTCTTGATGGACAGCAAATTTGGGAGTTTTATAAGCAGCAGTTGGTGTAATCATGTGCAGTTTTAATTTTGTCTTCCAGAAGAAAAGAATAAGTAGAGTTTCTTTTAAGATCTAAAGCAGACAGTTTCTTTCTATAGCATCCAAAGAAACCATGAAGCTGAATATGGCACCAACTCGAGTCAAATTCTCTCACATCTCAAATTCATAAAGCTTTTTGATTAAGGCAGAAGCCCCCAATATTACCCCAAAAAATAAGTGACTGAAATTCGAGAGTTGTTTTCCTTTCCCTCCCAGTTCAGCAGAATGAATAAATGTAGCTGCCAGAGTCATGCTAGTGAATGCAAAGTTGTCATTTTAGTGTTTTAGTCTGAAACATGTTCCCTAATGAAATCTCACACACTTTCCTATCTTTTAATATCTGTAATTGCACTTTCCTTGCTGTTAAAAAATTAATCTTCTCACAGAAATTCTGTATTTTTTTTCTTTCCTAGTTATTAAATCATGTCTTAAAAGACCTGAGGGAAATGAAACAAGTGAGAGAGAACCTGTTGGAAGTCCATCTGAATGGCAAGTAAAACATCATTTATCCAGGGTTCTGTTACTCAGTTCTGTATTTTGTGTGTACTGAGTGAAATTTTTGCTTTCAGCAATTTAGTCCAGCCTAAATTACAGACATGTTTGTCTGTGAGCTCCAAAGTGCCTCTCTTTGTATTTCTTTATATGGAGGGAACTTCTGTGCTTAGTGACAGAATTAAGTCACTTGTCATGTACAGAGCTCCTGTTCAGTCTGATATTTAAAAGGCAAAAAGCTCTGTAAGGCTGGGAAGGGAAAGCTGCTGGTGAAGTTTCTGGTGGGAGTGAGGGACAACTGCCAGTTCTTCATGAGGAATCCTTTTCTTTCAGGGCTTCTGCAGACAAATGATAAAGTGGCCCTGAAGGAGATCACCAGACAGCTGCAGCTGGAAAATGTGGTTGGGGACAAAGTTTTTGTGAGTAACTTCACAGAACCTTTCCTGGGACACTTTCCTGGGCTTTGTGGGATGGAGCTTGCAGGAACTGCATGGGCTCCACACAGGGGCTGGTGTTCCCTTTGCTGATTGAGCAGTGCTGATGCATCCTTATTATTTTTAAAAACACATCAACTTGTGCCTTTACAGGAGGGAAAAAGGGAAATCTGTAAACTTAAGTATTCCAAAGTTATTGCAAAGTATTAAGTATTAATAATACTCCTTAAGTATTTATTATTAATAGTATTCCTCTAGTATTCCAAAGTGTTCCAAACTTAAGTATTCCAAAGGAACTTTGTTCAGAGGTATGGGGACTTTGGAAATGTTGTTTTTAACATTTCAAAACAAAGAATTAGCAAGTTGACCAATCAAAAAGCAGGATCTTTAATATATTGTCAACCTTTCTTGGTCTATCCAAAAAGGAAGTCTATCCAGGCTTCCTAGAGCTCTCATTTTCCATGGAATTTCAATTAAACTATTTGCTGCTATTTGTCTTTTCCCACAGATAAACTGATTTACATTAGTTCTGAAGACAGTCCTAAAGAGAGTGACCAAAGTGCTTGAAAATGAATTTCCCTCATTGTCTATAACTCACATCCAGAGCTTAAATCGGCTTTTCTGCCCTCTTTGATAGGACTTGTGGTCTTCAGTTCATTATTTCTCATCTCACAGCTGGAGTGCTGCAGGGTGGAGAATTTGGGTAACTGGACCAGGATGGGCACAGCCACTCAGTGTTTTTTTCAGAAGTGTTTGATGCTTCCATCTGTTCAGTAAAGTTGCCAGTTAAACCCTGCACCCTCTCAGTGGAACATTTAGGTGCCACTTTTTCCATGTGTGTGCCTGGAAAATGAGGATGCAACAGCTATTTCAGGAGGGCTGGAGCTGCCTGTGAATTTAGCTGATTGCAGGCATTCTCCTGATCACTGGTTTTTGCCTGTCTGAGGCAGTTTGGGGATTTCAGACTGGGAAAAAAGTGGATGAATGTAGAGTTATCCATCATTGTTCTTGTCCTGAGGAGTTTATGATTATACAGCATCAAGTACCATTGGGCATTTTTGAAAGCAGGCTTTTGGAAGGAGCTGGCCTCCAGTGCATGTCTGAATTTGCATTCTGAGAATGACACTGCAAATCTATCCTGAAACTTCTTTATTCTCTGTCTAGGGCAGTTTTGCTGAGAACCTGGCCTTCCTCCTTGAAGCTCTGAGGAAAGGTAAACACTAAAAACCTCTGGTCTGAAACTCTGGGTCACTTGACTGGAAAGTGGAGTTTTTATTCTGTTTTACAGGTGGAATGAAGAAGCTTAGCCCAAGAATGTGTCATGGTTACAAAATAATATAAAAAAATAATTAATACTGATTACTCTCTGATTATAGTGTATATACCTGCTGTAACTTTTAAGGCTTGCACGTGATGTTAGCTGTGAAGGACAGACTCTTTTATCCAGCTAGAAGCTATTAAAAATGTTGTTTTTAAAATAAAATTGGCCAAGTCTGTCTTCTTTGCAGCCAGAAATGATGTTTGGCAGAACACTACAAAGCCTTCCCAATTTTTCCATGTATTTTCCTTTTTCCTGTTGGACCTGTAGAGAAAGGAGGGCTTAGTGAAAAGCTGAAAGAAAATCTGTGCATTTTTAAACCCCAATATTGAAGAAAGCTGTAGCAATGGAAGTCTAATGCTGAAGTTGCCCTGCTAACTCTCCACATTTCTCTCAGGAGACCGAACCAGCAGCTGCCCAATTTTGTTTGTCCTGGATGAATTTGATTTGTTTGTCCACCACAAGAATCAGACCCTGCTGTACAACCTCTTTGACATCTCCCAGTCTGCCCAGACCCCAGTGACAGTTATTGGGCTCACCTGCAGGCAGGTAAGAAATGGCATTTCCAGGTTTTTAGCTGTTTTAAAGTGACTTTTATCTTGGTTGGAATGACTTCTCCTTCCCTGGAACCTTAATTTCCTAAGGGACTTTTTTCAATTATTCATTTTTTCTAACTTTTGAATTGGGAAAGGGGATGTAAAAAAAAAATAAATTGTGCTGACAGCAAATTGAAGATGCCCAAAGCCTTCAGGCTTGCTGCTAAAGGAGCAAACCAACATTTCTAAGCCACACATTCAATATTAGACTGTTAGACTGTGGTTCACTCTTCAGAGGGGCTCCTGAATGTCTTGGTTGGCAGTTGGCAAGGACAGAATTGTAGTAACTGTGTTTAAATATATTTATTTTTTTTTTAGGAAACCACTTCAGTAGGCTGGTTTCTTAAAGAAGAGAATTCTGAGTTCAGGATCCCTGTTCAATTTGCTGTGATTTTACAATGGCATTATGTTTTCTGGCCAGGTTGTGTGTACACTGTGAAGTAATTCCTGGGGAACACTGGGAACTTGATAAAAGTGTTCCTGTTTTCACAATGATGCTGGAGATAGTTGGGTTGTGACAGGAAGAAGAATTAAAATCTCTTACCAAAGCCTCATTCTGGGTTTGACTGGGATTAGCTGGGCAAATTTCTGGAAGTTAATAGAAAAGTTAATTGTTGATTTAATAAATTACAATCTTTCCTTTTGCATCATCACTGTCCTGAGTCTGGTGTGCTCCTCACCCATTATTTAGAAGCTTTTTGGAGTGTAATTCAGGATGTGTCTCCAAAGTGAGGGGTTTTGTTTTGGCCATTGTTTCTGAGGGGTCTTTTTTTGGCTCTTAAGTATTTTTGGGGATTTTTAAGCTGTATTCTCTCAGGCTGACAGAAAGCACGTGGCCTGTCAGCTGCTTGTCCAGAGCCCTGACAGGCTGCAGGGTTTGATTCAGCCTTAAGTAGCTGAAATATTTCCATAATCTATGGAGACATTTTGCTGGGTTTCCTAGCAACAAATGATCCTGTGTGACGTGGAGCATCACGTGGGCTGGGATGCTTGGTGGCATTGCAAGGCACATCAATTAAAATCATCAGCAAAGGGCTTGTTACAACATTTAACTTATGTTACAACATTTTAAGCCTGAGAATGCGTTAATTCTTTCTTTTTTCAGCACACTTTACTTCAGTGATTTGTCTGTGCTGTAGCAAAGAAAACACCAAATTCATCTGCTTTTTTAATTACTGTTTTTCCTTTTTTTTTTCCCCATCAAGGATATCCTGGAGCTCCTGGAGAAGAGAGTAAAGTCAAGGTTCTCCCACAGACAGATATATTTGACAAATTCCTTTGATTTTAAACAATACATTAAGATATTTAAGAAACAGCTTTCTCTTCCTGATGAATTTCCTGATGAATCTTTTGCACAAAAATGGAATAATAATGTTCAGGTACTTAAAGCATTTTATACTTGATTCTAGGAAAAGTTCTAAAGTGAGAGCAGTGTAAAGCTGGTTTACTGTATACACGTATCCTTTACCAGTAAAAGTGTAAAGCTTTTTCCTTTGGCATTTGGCATTTCCTTTCACTGGCTGAATGTGATATGGAATAAATTAAATTACTATAGAGAATCTTTGCTCATTGAAGTCTGGAGGTGAAATTGTCACAGGAAATACCAGAAAGTTGAGGTTGGACATGAAAATTGTATTGTCAGGTGCAAGCTGAGCTCTTAAAAAATATATTTACCTGTTATTTTTCCAGGTGAGTATGAAATGATTAAAAGTGAGTATGAGATGGTTAAAATATCACTTTATTGTTTCTTGCAGCATCTCTCAGAGGATAAAACCGTGCAGGCTGTGCTGCAGAACCTCTTCCACCACACCAAAGACCTGCGCTCGCTGCATCTGCTCCTGGTGTGTATTGGGGTATCTGTGAAACACCTCCTTGCAGGAACTCGTGAGCAGCTCTCGTGGTTTTGAGCCCATTTAGCTGAGCTTTGAACAGCGTTTATTAAACTTCATCCAGTGCTGGGTCAGCCTGTGCTGTGTCAGGGAGTGGGTAACTCCAGTTCAGCAGTTCAGATGGGGCTGAGCTTTTGGCATTCCACTTTCTCCAAGCCTTTCCATTTCTAAAACAAAACTGGAGGTGAAACCCTTCAAAACTACTTTTTCCTTTCTGAGATTCTTTTTTGTTCCTGGTGAATCCTGACACCCCATACTGAAACCTGTTTTTTTTGCTTGAATTTCCATTGCCACACAGGAGCTGCAGCTCTCTTGGAGGTTCTTTTTAAAATTTAAGCTGCCTCCCTAATTCTGCTTTTGAACACAGCTCATATAAATGCACTGACACTTTTACAGAGGATAAATAACACTTATTTAACTATCCTAAACTATCCCTGTGCTTGTGTCAGTGTGAAAAGCCCCCTGGCTGTCCCTGCCCTGGGCTGTAGATGTGTGACCTGCTCTGGGCTGGGCTGGGCTGGCTGCAGTGCTCCCAGCTCCTCCTGCAGTGCTCAGAGCCACCCTGAGAGCCAGAGCAGAGTCCTCCTTGCTGGTGCTCTGGGCACTGGAGGTGGTTACAGGATTGCAGATTATTCCTAGAGCAGGGAATTCCCAAGTCTGTCCCTGTGGCTGTACTGGAGGTCAACAAAGGAGCTGATGGCAGCCAAGAGCTTCCCTGAGAGCAGGAAAGAGCTGAAGCTCAGCTTTCCCATTGTTCTCTGTTCCTTTCCAAAGAGACCTTTTGTTCTGAAGTCAACTTCCCAATAAAAGCACATGAAACAGATTTGGAGGGATGAGTGAGGAGTTCCTGGACAAAGTGAGGAGAAGATAAGATTGTGGGGAGATCTTAGAGCCCTTCCAGGGCCTAAAGGAGAGCTGGAGAGGGACTGGGGACAAGGGATGGAGGGGCAGGAGCCAGGGAATGGCTCCCACTGCCAGAGGGCAGGGATGGATGGGATAGTGGGAATTGGGAATTCCTGGCTGGGAGGGTGGGAAGGGGCTGGCACAGGTGCCCAGAGCAGCTGTGGCTGTCCTGGATCGCTGGCAGTGCCCAAGGCCAGGTTGGACAGAGCCTGGAGCAGCCTGGGACAGTGGAAGGTGTCCCTGGGTACAAGAGCAGGTGCAGAACAGCTCTAAGTCATTCCTGCAGCAGCCTCCGAGGTGCTGATCCATTGCCAGGGATACAAACAGGTTCATGAGGAGTCATCTCCTGGAATCAGGAGGCTTTAAGGTTTTAAGCCTGGAAAACTTTCCTGGCAAGATGACATTGAAGTGCCAGCTCTGTGCAGGGTTTCAGTGTGAAGCTGCTGCGGGGGGTTTGTCCATGGGGGTTGCAGGGTTCCTCGGGGAGCTGTGTCCATCCCAGCAGGGTTGGCTGAGCTGTGTGTGTGTTGCAGATGCTGGCTGGCAGCGCAGTGACCGTGCACCACCCCCTGCTCACGGCTGCAGACCTGCAGGAGGCCAGCAGGCACCACAGCACCGACTCCAAGGCCAACATCGTCCATGGTAAAGCCCAGCTCCTTCCCACAGCTCTGCTGGAAGCAGGGGAGGTGTCAAGTCCCTCCCTGGAATTGTCCAGGTGGAAGAGATGCTGTGCAGGGCGTGCTCCCTGTGGCATTGCCCATGGAGCCTGCTCCAAGTCACACCTGCCCATGGGTCCGACTGCCAACTTGGATACTTCCAGTTCTTTTTGGTGGGAACAGCCCAATCCTGAACATTTCTGCTTCAAATACACAGCAAACAGATGTTCTCTTATCAGTCCTCTCCAGTCTCAAGCTGCACCAAGGGAAATAGAGGTTGGATATCAGGGAAAAGTTTTTTATGGGAAGAGTGATAAAGTTCTGGAATGGCTGCCCAGAGAGGTGGTGGAGTCCCCATCCCTGGGTGTGTTTAACACAGCCTGGATGTGGCACTGGGTGCAGGGTCTGGGTGAGGTGTGGGGCTGGACTCGATGACCCTGAAGGTCTCTTCCAGCTTGGTGATTCTGTGGATTCTGCAAGACTTCAAATTCTGGGATTTCTTTACATAATAAAGATACAGAACACCAATGGGTGAGGCACAGAGCATGTAAAAACAGAGGAGTAAACAGTGACATGCCTGTGTTTGTGGTGTGCTCAAGGGAAACACCGGGATTCTTGTCTTTCCCTGCAGGTTTGTCTGTGCTGGAAATCTGCCTCATCATAGCCATGAAACACCTGAACGAGGTCTATGATGGAGAACCGTTCAACTTCCAGATGGTTTACAATGGTGAGAGCAATGCCTGAGCTGCACAAACCCCACACCACGCCCTTCCTTCTAAGTGCCCTTTTCTTCTCCTACTGCTGCAGAATTCCAGAAGTTCATCCAGAGGAAGGCACATTCCATGTACAACTTTGAGAAGCCAGTTGTCATGAAGGTGAGCCTGAAACGCTTTTTGTTTTTGAGTTGTGAGACCGGGGTGGTCAGACACAGCCCTGGAAGGGAGTGGGTGTTGGGGGCAGGAATGATGTTCCCTTGCACGTCCCCTTTCCTCCCCAGGCCTTTGAGCACCTGCTGCAGCTGGAGCTGGTGCAGCCCCTGGAGCGGCCGTCGGTGCGGGCGCAGCGCGAGTATCTGCTGATGAAGCTGCTGCTGGACAGCAGCCAGATCATGGAGGCCCTGCAGGTGTACCCCAACTGCCCCACCGACGTCAAGCAGTGGGCAGCCTCCTCCCTCAGCTGGCTCTGAGCTCCAGCACCACAGGGAATGTTCACCCCAGGAAGGTGCTCTCTTTGCTGATCCATTTGGGGTTTTGTGGGCAGAATGGTGCTGCTGTTCCCTTCCAGACGCCCAGGTGCTTCAGCTCAGCTCAGTGCCAACTCCTGCTCTCACACTCAGTTCCCACCTGGAGAAATCCAAGCTCTGGAGATTCTCCCTGTGGCTGAGGGCTCTGGATCCTGGCTCAGGCCATGCTGCTCTCCTGGCTCCCTGCTAGAGCCCCACCAGGTCACAACCACACTGCACTTTTCCATTTCAAATCTGACTTTGACAGTAAATTTACCCAATTAAATCTTTAATCACAACTGAATTTACTTCATTAGATGTTTCACCCAACAGGCTTCAGCCACGAGGGCTATTTTGTGCCAAGTAAGCATCTTTCCATACCCAATTTTTTGGAGCAAAACTCAAGAGTTTGGCTCAGGAGCTGCTGTAGGACCAGCCCCATGTGTCTATTTTAAAATAAAGTTTTCAAAGAAGCATTTGCAAGTCAGAGTAGTCACATTTTTTATTTTCCCGCTGGGGAAGAGGGCAGAGTATACATTTGTATTTTTACAATATTTAACAATCACTTTATTGAGGGCGAGGGGGGGTTGGTTGGTTTTTTGTCACTTGCAGAAAAGCAGCAAGTGCCTTTTAACAGTAGTACAACAACCTGTGCCCAAAACACTGACAAATACAAAGAGGAAAGTTAAAGTAATCGCTCACCAAACTCGAGAGGTAACGAAGAGGAGATGGACTGAAAAAAACAAACTGGAGGGAGAAAGCAAAGCAGTCCTGCTGGTTGAGTATCTGAGGTAACAGATGTTCCATCAAGGATGCTACTGGAGTCCTTTTGCCCAGGGATGTGTATTGCAGCTTCCTGTGTTTTGTACCAAGTGTTCCTGATCAACAGAAATGTCTTTAAAAAGGTTAAAAAAGCTGGAAAAGAGGAGAGGGGGTGATGGCTGATTGTGTGGATGCTGATGGGAGCAGGAGAGGTTTGGGAGCTGCACCGCTGCGGTTCCTGGGTGATTCCATGCTGGGGGGGTTTGGGAATACCGCAGGAAGGGCAGCGCTGCTTCAGCCCCCTCCAGCAGCTCTGAGGACGTGGGACAGGAACTTGTCACCCTCGGCAGTCACACCTGAGGCCAGGCAGGAGGGGACAGGGGGCACAGCCCAAACAATGGCAGCATCTGCCCTTGCTGCTCCCAGCTGAACTCAATGGATGCTCCCAAGGGAACAGGAATCCCTTCCCAAGCCCTGGGGCAGAGCAGCTCGGGGCCATTCTGCCCCATTTAAAAGCTTTGGGAAGGAGCAGCCTTTCCTCAATCCCAGGAGTGGGACAGAACTGAGCAGGGACAGCCCTGAGCCCACAGCAGCTCCTTGGGAAGGGTCACACACAAGGAGGGATGTGGATACCACTGCAGTTTTTGTATCAGATTTCCAACAGCACAGCCCGTGGCTCCGGATTTGCCAGGGAAGGGTCAGAAGCCCCAAGGAGCCCTTGGAGAAGGACGGGGTTGGGATTTGTTCAGAACTCCGGGCTTGTCCTGCTCTGTGTGAATTTAGTTAAAAGTGGAGCACAAATGGAAGCGTCCAGCCAAGAGGACCCCACACACTGGATTCCTTCCCTTGTCCAACGGCCCCTTGGAGCAGGATCTGTGGGCACAGCTGTGCCTGGCAGTGCCACCCTGGCTGGCATCAGCCCTTCCTCCTCCCTGCCCAGAGCTGGCTCTGCTGCATCCATCACATCCCACTGCTCCCAGGGATGCAGTTCCCAGCTCCAGGTTCCAGCCTTCAGGAACTCCCACCTGCTGCTCTCCAGAGACACGGGGAGTGGGCACAGGAGACAAGGACACACAGCACACCACGGCCGCTGCCGGCTCTGCGCTCCAGGGGGTTACAGCATTGACTTTCCTTGGAATTTGGTGTGAAGGATCCAATCAATCAGTGGGACAGCATTTGGGAGAAGCACTTTGGCACCCAGCTACCAGTCACTGTAGTTCCAGCACAAGGCTTGACATCCCGAACTCCAGTGCTGGAGTTGTGAATTTCCATGTTTTTCCTCGTTTTCTGTGAGTCTGCGCTCTGGCCATTGAAATTCCTTTCGTTACCTCGGAATGGTCATTGCATACTGTGAGCAGAACTAGGTTATCCCTGAAATTTGTAACATTTAGGATCTGCAATCTGTGGCTGGAACTTTGTGTGTGACTCCAGGCTCAAGCTGTGAGCTGCACTCCCCTCCCATGGCACCGAGCTTTGAGCGGAGGGAAGCTGCAAATCGCCAAGCAAAGGGTGAGGAATTGGGGAACTGAGCTTCCTGAGGAGATCCTGAAACAGTGACACAGCCCCCACTGCCTGGCGGGACAGGGAACACGCGGCGACCTCGGCACAAACATAAATAGGAAAAAGACTCTTTTTCAAAAAAAAAAAACAACAACAAGAATTCAGAGCTTTCCAGTGTCACAGCTCAGAGAAAATTAAAAAAAGAAAAAGAAGTCATGCTTAAGGTTTCAAATATTCCTCAGACACAGCAAACCTAAATAGTATTCAGTTAAATAAATGGATGAGATACTCTGGGAAATGGACGGAAAAGCTTTCAACTAAAAGAGGAAGGAAAATTTTCTTCCAATAAACAGCACTTTCTCTTTTTTTATACACAACAAGCGAGTACAAGAAAAGGCTAAAAACACGGCTCTAGGAATGGCCACTTCCTGGGGGCATGAAGCTTTCCCCTTCTTAAATAACACAGGGAATTGGGAATACATCATTTACAAAACACGGAGCGGTTTATTATTCCAATTAGTGTTGTCAATCATAATTTAGCGAGGTGGAACTGAGGTATACCTGGTTGAGGGAGGTTAAGTAATACTTGGAAGCCTCTTTGCTCTATCCCATTGATTACTCTTGTTTCTGTACACGGAACAGCAGCACACGGAACATTCACAAGCTGTGTCGTAGTCGCATTACAATAGTCATTTTATAAACAACAACGAATGCAATAAAAACAAGTTACCCTTTTTTTTTTTGTTGTTTTTAAATCTGAAATGAAATGTTTTTGATTTAAAAAAAATAACAGTAGTTCATTTAAAGGAATTAGTGTCTTCTGACAGGCATTAAGAAATCTGATGTCAGTGTTTAAAATGCTCATTAGCCCGTTCAGGTCCGGGTTCTTCATTGTAAGTTCCTTATCAGCACGTGAGGGGTTCTCAGTCACGTCCTTCAGGTGTAAGCAGGGAATGCAGAAAGTCTCATGGATCCACGTTGGGGAGGAGGAGGGGGAAACAAAGGAGAAACACCTCTTGGTGATGTTCCAGAGAGACTTACCATCCGTTCTTGCCACCCGGCACAGCGGTGACGCCAGCAGTCCGTGCGCTGTAGCAGCTCCAGTGAAGAGTCCTGTGGTCACTTCCATGACCAGTGCAACTATCATAGACTGGATTCTTTGGGAGGAAAGTCAACGTTTGTCACCATTGTGACCACAGTCACGATGTCCTCTGTTGTTATAATGTTAGTGAGTTTCTGCATCTGGATGATCCTCTCCTCCACGCAGCCGGCGGACAGCCGCGCCTCGGCGTCGTGATCCCAGCACTCCTCGATGGTCTCGCACAGCATCGCCATTCCCTGCGGGAAAGCAGCAGGGAACGTCACATCCCAAAGGGATCTCAAGGGACACCTGGCAAATGGGAACCTGTGTGTCCCACAGGATGTTTGGTGTGAACCTGGAGTGGCCCGTGGGGCCTCGGCTCTGCTTTGTTCTGCACTATTGAAAAAAAACTGGTCAACAGCAACAGGGGGCAAATCCTTCCCTGGGGAATCCTTCCCTGCAGTGCTGGAGCCTCCCCGTGGTTTAAAAAGCTGAATCCCTCAGCCACCAAATGGGACTTCACTGCAAAGTAACTCCAGGATCTCTTCTTCCACCAAAAAATGGAAATGACCCCTCACTTTCTAAACTGAAGGAAAAACAGTCTAAGATAAGGAACATTTACAGCCTATTTAACTCCTACTGGAATTACTAAACCTCTCCCAGTGTGATGGACACAACACGGCAGCATTCAAAGCCGGGTGGGTCACACTTACAGAATGCTTCTGCCAACACTCCCTCAGGACAGGCCTCTTCTTTTTGTGCACCACAACTTCCTGCATGTCCTCCAGGGAGGGGTGCTGGCCGATCTCCTCCTCGAAGGGCAGCATGTACTCGTCCACGGGGCCTGCAGAGGGAACAGCGGGGTGGGGAAGAGGGAAAGGGAAGATTGCCGTGTTGGCCAAGCTCAGAATCCCGGAGAGGTTTGGGCTGGAAGGGATTCCCAGCCCATGCAGTGCCCCGTGCCAGGAGCTGGGCACCTCCCAGAGCTGTGTGCAGCTGGGCACACAGGGGAAGGTCGCTCACCGTCGGCGGCCGTGCAGCGCGAGGCCAATTCCCAGAGCACCAGGCCCATGGCGTACATGTCTATCCTCAGGAACGCGTCCCTTTGGAAGTTGATGGCACCTTCCAGCACCTCGGGAGCCATGTACCTGCGGGTGCCCACCTGCAAGGGCACCAAAACACCCAAGGTTGTGCCCAGAGTCATCCCCAGCACGGGCACCAACCCTGCCTGCTGCCACATTAAATCCCTGCTTTGTCCCAGATTAAATGCAACCGTGGTTGTTCCTGCCTTAGGAATCAATCTTGGAAGTTTCATCCCTCAGTTTCTGAATAGTAATTAAAGAATTAATAAAATATTATAAAATTAAAGTTCTTGTCCAAATTTGTCCGTGCAAAGAGCCTGAGGGGGAATTCCCATTGACATCCAGATAACAGCAGGATCATTCCTGGAAATAACTCAGGATTTACCTGTCCATGGGTGTCTCCTGCAGACTTTCCAGCCTCAAACTTTAAAGCTAGACCGAAATCAGCAATACAAGCCGTGAGGTTGTTTTTCAGCAGCACATTCTTGCTTTTGATGTCCCTTTCAAGTTCAAGAAAAAAACCACAAATTAGAGATCTAGACCACGAAATACAGATAAAACTCTAAGGAAAAAGGAACAGCATAAAACAAGACACATTATTGTATGAAATGCAAGAAAATGATAAACAGGTAAGTTAAACAACAAAATAATAATCATAAAACCTTGGAGTGCCCTTGCAGACCTTTATGGGATGAGCCAGTAATTGGAACTGCAGTGTTGTGCTTGTTTTTAAGATAAATACAGCTGTATGATGGATATGGGGATACACAGAGATGTCGGAATCTGTGGTATTGATAATTCTGAGATTGTAAAAGTCTCTGTCTGTCAGCCCCGCTGCCAAAGCAGAAGCCATAATTCATCTGTGCTGGTTTCAAGGTTGTTTATTCTGTTTATCTCTAACATGTTCTGCTGCCCTGCCGCAGCTCTGTCCTGCAGGGCAGCGTGTGGGGCTCTGCCCTCAGTGGGATGGTACAAACATTAAATACCACAAACTACCTGTGCTGGATTTACAATAACGTGCCAATATCTGTCACCTACGTTGGACAGTGTG